AAGTGAGGAGAGAGATTCAAAGAATCTTAAGTATAGACTGCCATTAGATGCTTTCTATGAAAGAACTGATGGATCTTTGGGCAGGTTCCTAGAAGGACAATGAAACCATTTGCTTGGACAGGAGAGTCCCCAAAGATAGAGATGCTAATAAAGACAATGGAAGAGCAAAATCATGGTCATGTCAACAGAGAGGTATGGTTTGGAGGTCTCAGTGTCCAGGCTGAGTGTGGGGCAAGTGGTTTTGGTTCTCAGTATTTAGGGGTTTTGTCGCAGATACATGTGAGTGTGAGTGTGTGTGTGTGTGTGTTCTGTGGGGGAGAGTGGTTGTGGCTAATAAATTCACCTTTCTGTTATCTGGCTCCAAACTAGTTCCAATACCTAGACCCAGTTTATGCTAACTGAGCAATGATAGTGTGCTAAATAAAGCACCCCCTGTATCTCAGTGCAGAAGCATGGGTAGGGAAAGAAGAAAGGTCTGTTGACAAAGTCAGAATATCCTCTGAGACAAGGCTAAAACTATTACAGTTTAATTCAAAACCCATACAGGTCCATTTGTAAATAAATGCTGTCAGATGACATTGTAATGGATAGTGTGTACTTTAAAATTGATTTCTTTTTGATGTGATAAAACATCTTATGAAAGAGATGTTGAAACGTAGCTTTTAATGTAAAGTAACATAATTTAGATTTTAAAATAGAAAACCTTTTGTTGATAGTAGTTTATTCGATTCAGTGCATGTCCCAAACATTATTTTCTGTGGGCTATAAATTACCTTTGAACCAGCTATAATTCATAAATCGTTACTTATGACTGATTTATAGGAAATCTCATTAATAGCAATAGCAGAAAGACCTTGAAGTAAGCAAGAAATAGAAAATAAGACAGCCTGGGGACTGAAAAGGGAGAGACACATGCACTCTACAATTAATTGCAATGTATTGGATTTGCATATGAAAGCATGCTTCTGATCATTGCAGTTAATCCTTACCATAACTTTGAATAATAGATATTAGTGTTATTCCTATCTTATATAAGAGGAAGAAACTGAGTGTCCCATCACTTTATTTTTAGTTTGAATATGTTTTAAATATTTATTATATATTGATTATTATGAGCTGGTAAGTTTATATAAATATAAACTTACTATATATACATATATATGTATATATGATATATATAATGTGATATTGCTAACAAAAGCCTTTTGAGTAGATGACAGTGGTGTTTCTCTCTTACAGACAGGAAAGTAAAGAGAAGTGAAGTAATTTTTCCAGTTGTAGAGACATGGAGGTTTAAGCAGGTATTTAAATTTAGCAAGTCTTATGTCATGCTCCTACTCCTCTGCTTTTTTAAGTAATCTCTTACCTCCTCCACCACCACCCTGACTCAATGCAAGTTCTCCCTTGACCATGGAACATGGCTCCCTTTGCTATGTCTTATTTTAAGGAGAAAAGGATAGCAAATGGCTTATCTTAAGCAAAGGACTTAGCTTCTTCACTTTGTGCTATGTCTAGTCAATCAGTTATTTTTCTATATCTCTATTGCCAGAGACCCTAGGATTCCGAGAGTCATAGGGTGGGAGATGGGAGATGAACTAGAGGAGCAGGACCCTGGGACCCCAATGCTAAAAACACCCATCAGTTAATGTATCAGAGATTTTATGTGCTATTTTCTAAATGCCCAATTACCTAAAAATTGTGTGTTGGAGAGAGGGGAGCAAATGTAAAACTACACCAAATCATATGAATAAAAAATTTTCAATGGTTGTGTTACTGGAAATTTAAGTAGGGTTCTATTTAAAGTGGAAATCTATAAGGGTTTTTAAGGTCATGTTTAAATTTACAATAAAAAATAATTCCTAATCTAGCTCAGGTGAGAAGCCTACCAATCATATTGTTGTCACAGTGTAAATGGGACAATAGAATAGACCTATAAAGCCATCAACAAGATTAACAAAATCAGCAGGGCCCCATTATTTAGTGATTAGTTGTTTTAAAATGTAGATTTTCTTATTATTTCGGTATGATGAGACAAATCAAGAGGCAATTGTCATTGAAGATATATATATATTTTTTTACTCACAGTTCCCAAGAGGAGGGAGCATGCCATGCCACATGGGGGCCCCATAAGGAAGCACCAGGGTCAGTCAGAGGGGTAGAGGGAGCAAGGGAAAATCTGAGCAAGAGCCTTTATCATGGTTTGTGAGAAAAAGCAAGAGAAGTCAGGGTAAGCAGGCTGGTAATTGGCTAGCCCTGTGAGATCCTGATAAAGGAGGTTGTTGGGGTATAGGCTTCAGACTGATTGGTTTGCATATGAAAGGCATGCTTGTGGGCAAGTCTTTTACTATCTCTAAGAATTGGCTAGCCCTTGGAGGGGTCTCTCTGGAACAGCAAGGCCCCAGATACCAAAACATCAGAAAATATAGAAAATAGGACCACCTGAGTGGCTCAGTTGGTTAAGCATCCAGACTTTTGATTTCGGGTTAGGTCATGATCTCAGGGTCATGAGATGGAGCCCTGCATCAGGCTCCATGCTGGGTGATGAGTCTGCATAAGATTCTCCCTCTCCTTCTCCCTCTGCCTCTCACCGCCCCCACTGGTGAGCTCTCTCTCTCTCTTAAAAGAAAGAATGAAAAAGGAAAGAAAGAGAGAGAGGAGGGAAGGAAGGAAGGAAGGAAGGAAGAAAGAAAGAAAGAAAGAAAGAAAGAAAGAAAAAGAAAATATAGAAGATAGAAAGTCATGATTACTATATTCGTGCCTATCACTACACATACACAGAGTTGTAACTAGATAGTAATTGTTTCTGCACATACACAACAGCCTTTTTATCCAGTGCCTACAGTGTGACAAGTGAGAAAAACCATCAGACATGGCCTCTGTCCTCACAGGCTAGTGGGAGAAACAGAACCAGGGACTAATGATCATAGTACTAGGTGGTGTGAAAAGTTAGTCTAGCGCTACTACAGCCCTGAAGAAAGAACTAAGTCTCTTTCCCAGGCCCTCTGTTCTCATGCCACAGGGACCTGTTTACTGGTCCCTGGATGTACTAGCATCTTTCATGGGTCCTTATCTTGGTTCAAGATGGTCCTTGCCTAAAATGCTCTTCTTTCCTCTTTTTTTTTTTTTAAATCAACTTCTTCTAGAAAACCTAGATCAGATGATCCTCTTCTTTGAAAATCCTCTGATTTACCAGCACAGACTGAGCTCATCTGACATCAATGCCCTTGTCCCAATGTGGCTGGGTCTCATACCAGTGAATATATATTATTGTAATTCATCTGCTTACCTATCTGTCTCACCTTCTGAACTATCGTTTCCTCAGGGGTAAGGATGATATTCTTCATCTTTATATGCCTGGTACTCAGCAAGATGTCTGGGTAAGAGAAATAGCATGAACAGTAATAATAATATCTAACATTACTGAGTTTTTACCATGTGGGAGGCATTATTCTAAGGGCTTTATCTGCATTAACTAATTTTATCCTCACAACAACACAGGGGGTATGTACTATTATCATTCCCATTTTGCAAGTGAGGAGGTTGTGTCATGGAGAGATTAGTAAATTGTCCAAGGTGACATATAATAAGTACTAAATTAGTGCCTTTTTGAATTAGAATGTAGTGATCCCTTTTTTCCTTTGTTTGTTTCCAAGAGATTCATAGAAGGGACACTGTTTATTGAGATGAGAGATTTAGAAGAAGTCATTATACAAGTGTTCAATGCATGATAAGAGTGGGACATACACTGGGTAACCCAAGCTCCTTTAAAATTCCTTCTTGTGCCAAAAGAGATGCAGAAAGTGAGTTATTTTATTCCCCTTCCCACAAATCTACTTAAAATCAGTGAGAGTAGGGGTACAAGATATATAATATTTCTGTTATACTAAGGTATCTTCTGTACGTAAAAGTTATGTTTCATAGAAATCATTTAATTTGTGGTATGTCTGCCTATAGGCAGCAGTTGCTATATTATAATGAATTTGGGTATTTGAAAATCTCTAAAAGTTTATGTACATTTGTGCATGCCATAGTTTCAGTGTATCTTCATAGGTACTATAAATCAAGTTGCCAGGGTTTACAGCTGAGGTCACCCCCCAAAAAAGTATTTTAGAGAAATTAATCCTGAAAAAATATTTTGCCTTTGCCATCATTCTCCCAGAAACTTTTTCATGGAGTGTTTGAGATCATATGCTCTTGGACCAATCAGATGAGTGTGTGAGTCCTGGTTCTGTACTTACGAACTCTGTGACTTCAGGCATGTTAGTTTCCCTATGATTAAACATCTTCATTTTGGAAATGGAGATTATAGAAGTCACTAACTCAGAAAAGTGCTGTAAGGAAGAGAAAGGATCAATCCACGCAACCTATGTAATTGAAAAGGGCCCCATTCACAAAAGGGCCCATGCTTGGTTAATGCTCTTTGTTACAGATTTGAAATTCTTCATAATTTTTAAGAAGCCATCCCCCAGTTTCATTTGGCACTGGGCCCTGCAAATTATATAGCTATTCCTGGATAGGATTGTTTGTGAGGTTTATAGCCCATGGTGCCTGGTACATAGAAGAACTCTCAGTAAAATATCAGCTATTACTGATTTTGCATGGGAGCTTTTAGTTTGTTGGGTATAGCCCCAAATCTTATTTTCTGAACTTTTCCAATCTGGTCTGGCCATTGAACCTTCTGGTGGGGTATATCTCGTTTGTCCTCATGTATTCAAGTCATACTTGGTAAACACTACAGTAAGGTGTTTCACCTCATTCTTTCATTCCTATGTGACTGCATATTTGGTAGATATGGGCTGTGGATGACTGCTAATTTGAAGTACAGAAGCATTTTCTCTATAAATATGAGAATTGAGCCACATCGCTCAATAGGGGACATTAGATTTGTTGTTTGCTTAGTCTGAGAAATGATGGCTTTAGCTGATACATTGTATCACTGACATTACTCCAGAAAGACATTTGGAGGAGATCTAATACTCTTTTTTGTTCTTATATTGCAGACTATTTGAACTCCAGAAGGACCAACACCAGATAAATTATGAATGTTGAACAAGATGACCTTACATCCACAGCAGATAATGATAGGTCCTAGGTTTAACAGGGCCCTATTTGACCCCCTGCTTGTGGTGCTGCTGGCTCTTCAACTTCTTGTGGTGGCTGGTCTGGTGCGGGCTCAAACCTGCCCTTCTGTCTGCTCCTGCAGCAACCAGTTCAGCAAGGTGATTTGCGTCCGGAAAAACCTACGGGAGGTTCCAGATGGCATCTCCACCAACACGCGGCTGCTGAACCTCCATGAGAACCAAATCCAGATCATCAAAGTGAACAGCTTCAAGCACTTGAGGCACCTGGAAATCCTACAGTTGAGTAGGAATCATATTAGAACAATTGAAATCGGGGCCTTCAATGGTCTGGCAAACCTCAATACTCTGGAACTCTTTGACAATCGTCTTACTACCATCCCAAATGGAGCTTTTGTATATTTGTCTAAACTGAAGGAGCTCTGGTTGCGAAACAACCCCATTGAAAGCATTCCTTCTTATGCTTTTAACAGAATCCCTTCTTTGCGCCGACTAGACTTAGGGGAATTGAAAAGGCTTTCATACATCTCAGAAGGTGCCTTTGAAGGTCTGTCCAACTTGAGGTATTTGAACCTTGCCATGTGCAACCTCCGTGAAATCCCTAACCTTACACCTCTCATAAAACTAGATGAGCTGGATCTTTCTGGGAATCATTTGTCGGCCATCAGGCCTGGCTCATTCCAGGGATTGATGCACCTTCAAAAACTGTGGATGATCCAGTCCCAGATTCAAGTGATTGAACGGAATGCCTTTGATAACCTTCAGTCACTCGTGGAGATAAACTTGGCACACAACAATCTAACATTACTGCCTCATGACCTCTTCACACCTTTGCATCATCTAGAGCGGATACACTTACATCACAACCCTTGGAACTGTAACTGCGACATACTGTGGCTCAGCTGGTGGATAAAAGACATGGCCCCCTCCAACACAGCTTGTTGTGCTCGATGTAACACTCCTCCCAATCTGAAAGGGAGGTACATTGGGGAGCTTGACCAGAATTATTTCACGTGCTATGCTCCTGTGATTGTGGAGCCCCCAGCAGACCTCAATGTCACTGAGGGCATGGCAGCTGAGCTGAAATGTCGGGCTTCCACGTCCCTGACCTCTGTATCTTGGATTACTCCAAATGGAACGGTCATGACACATGGGGCATACAAAGTGCGGATAGCTGTGCTCAGTGACGGCACATTAAACTTCACGAATGTAACCGTGCAAGATACAGGCATGTACACATGTATGGTGAGTAATTCCGTTGGAAATACCACTGCTTCTGCCACCCTGAATGTTACTGCAGCAACCACTACTCCCTTCTCTTACTTTTCAACCGTCACAGTAGAGACTATGGAACCTTCTCAGGATGAGGCACGGACCACAGATAACAACGTGGGCCCCACTCCAGTGATCGACTGGGAGACCACCAATGTGACCACCTCTCTCACGCCACAGAGCACAAGGTCGACAGAAAAAACATTCACCATCCCAGTGACTGATATGAACAGTGGGATCCCAGGAATCGATGAGGTCATGAAGACCACCAAAATCATCATTGGCTGTTTTGTGGCCATCACACTCATGGCTGCAGTGATGCTGGTCATTTTCTACAAGATGAGGAAGCAGCACCATCGGCAAAACCATCATGCCCCAACAAGGACTGTTGAAATCATTAATGTGGATGATGAGATTACAGGAGATACGCCCATGGAAAGCCACCTGCCCATGCCTGCTATCGAGCATGAGCACCTAAATCACTATAACTCTTACAAATCTCCCTTCAACCACACAACAACAGTTAACACAATAAATTCAATACACAGTTCAGTGCATGAACCGTTATTGATCCGAATGAACTCTAAAGACAATGTACAAGAGACTCAAATCTAAAACATTTACAGAGTTACAGAAAACAAACAATAAAAAAAGACAGTTTATTAAAAATGACACAAATGACTGGGCTAAATCTACTGTTTCAAAAAAGTGTCTTTACAAAAAAAAAACAAAAAAGAAAAGAAATTTATTTATTAAAAATTCTATTGTGATCTAAAGCAGACAAAATTATGTGTATTCCTCAGAACCTGTTTTTGCTGCAGTTATTTACTATTTTCCCACATCTCATCCCTGCCTTCCCTGGTTGCCATATTTTTAATAGGAGATCTCTCAAGTCCCTAAAGAACTGGCCTAGGAAATTTTGTAAGAATTCTGTTACACTTTGAGATTTTTATGGTGAATTCTAGTGGTGAGATCCAGTCTATTTTGTCTTTCTTTCTTTTTTTTCCTCTCTCCTTTCTTTCCCTCATGACCTTATGAAGTAGTCCAATGGGGAATGCAATATTAGAAATAGATTTTTAAGAGAGAACAAGATTAAAAAAATGCAAGATCTTATATTTTTCATGTAATGACCTGTTCTGTATTTATGAGGAGAACCATTCAATGGCAAAGCAAAAAAAAAAAAAAAAGAAAAAAAAGAAAAAGAAAAAAAAGTAAGCAAACAACAGATTAATTTACATATGAGCATCTATAAAACCCATGATCTTTTAAACACCTCTAGAACCAGAATTTGTAGTTCAAAAACTAAAAAATAAGGTTATAAATAAAATATTGTTGGTTTTTCTGTACCTGGACACAAGTCATTTGTAGTATGGCTCAAATGTGAGAAACTTGAAGGTAATTAGATTTCCTACTTTCTAAGAAAGAAAAAAAAATTGTATTCTTCAGTCACAGCATCAATCTCTATGGGGTCCTACTTCATTAGCTGACTTGAGTATTGGATCTATATTCAAGGATGCTGTGGTATTTTTTTTTCCTTCTCATTAGGAGCACCCTTTGTAGAATGTTCAGATTAAAAAATAATGATTTCATGAAGTAAATTCAATCCCACTTGGAAGAAAGTTTCATTATAATTTATTCACTGTCTTCTAGGTTAAGTTCTACTGGCTAAAGTACAAGAGAATGTGAACGTATTCTAAATTATCTAAAATGAAAAATAATTTTTGGGGCTGAGTATCAGCAAATTCAGTTCAATTCCACAATAATTATTAAAGATCTTCTATGTTTTAAACACTGATCTTAGTGCTGTGGGCACACAATTGACAAGACCTGCTTCTTGTTCTTAAATCATGAAATATAATTAGAAAAAATATCAGCCTATTATTGAGGGCTAGCTCTAATTTTACTGTTAAGTGGAAGGCTGTGAATTGGGAACCTGAAATTTCAAAAATATTGGGTTACTGTTATTACAGAAAACTTGATTTATGGTTTCTTCTGTCCTTCTGGAAGAACTGATTCTATTCTTTCAAATGCAGATTGCAGAGCTGTAAAGGTGTGTGAGTTTGGATTTGCCATGATGAGTGTGTGCACACCAAGAGATAGCAATGTTAATACAGTAGTAATTCACTAAAGTTACTTGAAGGAACTGGAGAAATTTTAGGTATGAGAACATACACTAGCTTCCAAGTAAAAGAGGAACTTGCTGGTTCTTGGTACCTTGGCATTCTCCTGATATTTTAACATAGTATGTCTTGATCTATGTGAAGCAAAGTGAAAACAGACACCTCTTATTACTGACCTTGAAACCTACCACCTCATTGGTGAAACGTGTGATGCCCAAGCTGGAGAAAACTTCATCTCCTAATGGAGGAGCAGCTTGTATACTCACACTTAACTCTGCAGGCTGGAGCTCACACCAGGGTTTGTGGTCTCCAGGTGTGAAAAATCAATCACTACTGGCAAAGTAGGTCAGAGAACTGGGATGAAGGGAAAGCAAATGAGTAAGACCACATAAGGGTTTTACCTTTTTTTATTTTTTATTTATTTATTTTTTAATTTATTTATTTGACAGAGAAAGACACAGCGAGAGAGGGAACACAAGCAGGGGCAGAGGGAGAGGGAGAAGCAGGCTTCCTGCTGAGCTGGGAGCCCGATGTGGGGCTCGATCCCAAGACCCTGGGATCATGACCTGAGCTGAAGGCAGACGCTTAACAATTGAGACACCCAGGCGCCCCCCCCTTTTTTTTATTTTTTAGATCACTAATTCTCCAATAGCTTTTTCCTCCCTTGTATTTTACCTCCCTTTGTTAGGAACACAATTCACATTTACTTTCACTGTGGAGAAGACCCAAAAAAGGGGACAATACATGTTGGCTGTCATTGGCTAAGCTATTCAGTATAGAATATACTTAATATATTCCCAAGCTGCAGATCACAAAGCAAACAAACAACCCACCAAGGGATATCCAGCAATTGCTAGTCCAAAGAAGAGTGGTATAAGCAAAGAGGGAGAAGAATCCTGCCTTCTCTATTTAATTTGTGTTCCCTGAGCTCTCTCTTTGCTGACTCTGAACCTTCATTCAATTTGAGCTGATGGTTCTTATGGAGTTAGTCCCAGCACACAATTCCCCTTGGCTGTGAGGGTTGGCTGAATGGTTGGAAAAATTCTACTAAACAGAATGAAAGGTGAACTCAAACTAAAAAGTTAAGTAAGAAAGCATACATCTCAGTCCTGTAGAAGATTATGGTTGCTCTAATAAATACATTCTAGAAGCAAAATATTGATGAAAGACTGGTTAAGCCAAACTTGGCCTTCACAGTAAATTTAGAAACACTTTTGACCAAAGGTCGTTGTTGCAGGTTTTGGGGTTGAAGGGTGGAATGCTATAAATGCATTACCTAGAGGTATGTGTCTAGAGATTTATGATTAACAGTGTCTGTATTTGCTCTGCACAGCACTCTTGGCTTTTGGCCCTTCATTACAGGAGTCACACTGTGTTAGATGTGTTAGAGACCATCATGCCCTGTGGACTTCTTGGTCCAGCAGAAAGTTCATGTGACTGTCTTAACATCTGGTATATCCTGATAGCAAAGCACAATTCTATGTCAATATCTCTTCATTCTCTCCAAAGGCAACCAAGTGGTAGTACTCTTAAACACTTATGTGCACTAAAAATATGTCCTTTACAAGTAACTAAGTTAAGGTAACCTGATGGTAATTTAGTGTGTGTGTGTGTGTGTGTGTGTGTGTGTGTGTGTGTGTGTGTGTG